GAAGAGAGTAAGGAGGAGGTTATAGAGGAGGAGGAAGAAGAGGGTGAGGAGGAGGAGGAAAAAATAAAAACAAAAGAGAAAAGTATTGAGGCTAAAAATATGATGGTAGAGGGCAATGATCATGATGAGGAAGAGGAGAATGACACAAAGATTAAACCAAAAACAGAGACAAGACTCAGAAATCAGAGAGAAGACACAAAAGAGGAACACCTTGAAGGAAAGAAAGGTAGTGATTCTGAGGAAAAGGAAGATGAGAGTGAGGAAGAAGCTAACGAAGAAGAGGAGGGAGAAGAGGAGGAGAGTGAGGAAGAAGGAAAGGCTGCAAACATCAAACATAACCAGAAACATGCCAAAGAGGAGCAACATAAGAAAGAAAAAGAGGGAAATACAAAGGTGGAGCAGGAAGAAGAAGGAGAGGAGGAGGAGGAGGAGGAGGAGGAGGAGGAGGAGGTCAAATCAACAAAAACAAAAAACTTGCAGGGGCTGCCTCCTGACAGAAAACACAAACAACATAAAGAAACACCCAAACCAGCACCGAGGACGAAGCGGAGCGCTGCAGGAGAGAAGAAACAAGACGACTCTCAGCAGTTCTGGAACGATGTTCTGCCTCAGTACCTCGATCTGCAGTGAGGTTCATGTACAAAACAGTGTTTAACTGAAAGGACACGGACTCAGCACCACAAGGGCCATGCAGTACAATGAAACCTGCTCACTGTGACTGTTGATATCTGCTGATATATTATATAACTGTTGCTATAGTATTCTTATTGTCAACAAATCGCATTAGACCAAAACTAACGATGCATTAGTCTGTCTCTCAATATTTATGACTTCCCATATTTGTGTGTGGCACCCGGCACCAAGCTTCATTCCTACTGAAGGCATTCATTTTATTTGTGTCACAAATAGTTTCATTTTTCAAAGCTATACAGAAAAATAGTTAATTTGGTGATTAACACACATTTGATTATTGAAGGCAGTAGAGTGATGTGGGATTGACTCAAAATAATTTACAATGCCCACGAAGGAGCCCAGACCAATGGAGTGGCTCATTTATATGTTTTGGCATTGAACTTCTATAACACTGTCACAATGGAGAATTAAAAAAAAGAAGGATCAATCATTGTTTTTATTCCAATCAGTCTTCTTCCTGACCAAAACCTGGTGCCAATATTTCCCACAATGCTACGCGACTGCTAAAAGTTCTGTTTGAGACTCGGTTGTGCTAGTGGCGGCTAATGTAGCTCTAAGCTGCTAGCCTCGAGCAGAAATGAGGAGCGGGCTGCAGAAGTTCACTTCCTCCTACTCCACACTACACAAGATCAGACTGTACAAGTGCACAGTGTGTGTTTGGGTATAGGGATCAATGCTTTTAGATGCTGAACCTTCAAAAAAAATCCCCAAAATATATGCAAAATGAACACCAGATAGGTGTAAATCTGTGAAAACAACAGTTAAAGACAATAAAGCTAAACCCAGACACAATCTTAATCCCAAATCATTGTCTGTAACACCACATCAAAGTAAAGCAAAGGGTCGACTAACTCTTTGTTCACCTGACCTCACAGAAACATTTTAGCTAAACTGTCGGCTGAACCCACATTACATAATTACAGCTCATGAGATGCTCTCACAGTCACTTCACCACCTTCAACGCCTTCATGTGTGGACTCGCACTCCAGGGTCTACAAACCATGTGCAAATTAAACCCTGATCAGTCTTTCAACAGCTCTGTACTTTCACCCCGCCCTCCTGCGGTGTGTGTTTGTGTCTGAAACAGAATGATAACCAGGTGTAGAAGACTGCAGTGCAAATGTCAAGACGTAATCGATTACTCTGAGGTTACTATGGAACATCTCATCGTTGCTATAGGAAACAACTTGGATCCAACTTCCCGTAAAATGTTCACATCATTAGCAAACAGTGAAACAGGCAAACTTCTATCCCTGTTTGAAATGGGAAAATCTTTCCACTGTGTTATTGCTGCGTTTTATAGGTGAGAGAGAGAGAGAGAGAGAGAGAGAGAGAGAGTCTATAGCTGCTGGAAGGACCATATAATGTATCTAATGTATTTAATGTATAACAAAAGCTTATAATGTTTATAAATACCAAAGCAATACCAAAATCACATCCTGGTTATTTTCTCCTGATCAAAAAAGATTACTTGTGAAACTCCATGACCCCTTAGAAAACAGGCCTTTTTGAAACTAACAATATCATAATTTGTTATTCTCTCCTATGCAATTCATAATTTCAGGACAGTAACTAGTTACTTTTTACATTAAAATGACATATGCTTATATATGATGCAGTAGGCCTGCTAATCTACCCAGTAGTATACAAAATGTCTCAAATTGGCTCCACATTCACACCTCTACACTCCACAGAGTTTGTAATGGAGTATTTTTAGACAACGGGATTTCTACTTTTACTTAAGTAAAGGATCTAAATCTTCCACCACTGAGTATAAGTACCTCGAAATGTTACTTATGTAACTAATTGAATATACAATGACCACTGAAGAGTATAAGAGTACTTTTAAAAGGAGAACTGGGTTGACTTATTCTACTAGATACTTGTGTCCATGTCACAGTTTACCTACAGGGGTTGTTGGCACAGCCGATCGTCTCTCTGACCCGCCTCGCGCCGGTCACCGGGCCTGACTGTATTTGGAGAATCCTCCCTTGTTTCTGGATCTGGAGCAAGAGGCGGGCCTTTGGGAAGCAGGAATGCGCTGGAAGTTTTCCTGCGAGCTCCCTCTTCACACGTTCAAGAGTCCCGCGTCTCGACATGGACGTGTGGCCGCTGGTGCTCCTGTTCGTCCAGCTGTGCTTCTGCTCCGCTTATGAAGGTAAGGAACTGACAAAGACCCTCATTCACCTCCTGGACGTTATGAGCCGTGCCGGAAATAATCGACCAGTTTTAGACTGTCTGGTGAGAAATAATGGGATATCACTGATTTGAGGCTGAATTTAAATTAAACTCTTTGTATTGGGTGAATAGTATCCCCTTTTTTTCTTTGCATTCATTTGAGGCTTCTTATCCTCACCGCTGGTTTTGGGTGAACCGCGGTGGTGTTTACTTGGAGGGGGTGGACAGCGGGGGGAGTACAGTGTGCATCTGGGGGACGTTTCTCTGCACAGAGCTCAGTCTGTGGTCCCAATGAAAGCCCTGCAACTGTAGTGTAAGATAAATGTTTCGCCCTCTCTTTTAATACTTTACAAACAACGACCTATTCATCAACTCTTTGGATCAAACCACTGCAAAGGAGCTTTACATCTTTGAAGTATTAGGTATTAGGTTAGGTAAAGTTGGAAAGATATTCAAAGATTCAAAGTGGTATCAGTAATTTACTGAGGAATTAGTCAAAGGATTAGTCGATCGATTAATCATTAAATTAATCAGCAATTATTGTTTGTTATCGGTTAATCGTCTGAGACATTTTTTCCATGCAAAAACCCCAAATTTTATCTGGTCTGTGCTTCTCTAATGTGAGCGTTTCCTGTTGTTGCTGTATCTTCTATCATTGTAAGTGTAGAATCTTTGGGGTTTGGACTGTTGGGATAAAACAAGACATATGAGGACGTTATTTTGTCATAGACATTTTCTCAGCTTTTACTGACAAGATGATTCATTTATTAATGCTAGTTGAAAGAAAAGACTGTTGCAGCCTCACACTGAGGAAAAGCATCCAACATAAGAACACAGACAGACTATTCAGATAGATGGGAGAGAGCTGGGCCTGTAGCCTGCAGTGAGGCGCTGAAATGACTTCAAAGCTCAAGTCTGGATGGAGTATTGTGTGTGTGTGTGCGTGCTGTATGATCATACAGGCTGAAACATGAACACAAGCTGCAGAGCAGATTTACACTGACAGACTAAAAACAGCTTGTCGAGCAGTAGAGACTCTGGTCTGTACTTGTGTGTGTGTGTGTGTGTGTGTGTGTGTGTGTGTGTGTGTTTTTATGAGGAGTTTATTTTACAGGGGTGTGATTGCGTATGTTCTGGTGGTCAATTAACCAGTTGAGTTGTTGAGTGTGCATGCGCCCATGCCTCAAAGCTGTGTGGCGGTGCGCCAGAAGGACTCCTTTTGCACCTTTTGGGCTCTTTTTTTTTTTTTTTTTGAATCAATGGAAATCTCAAAGCCAGGGCCTGTGTTCTGCATCAGTTAAAAACCTCTTAAGCAAGTAGTCATAAAAGCCTGATCACATTTTCCACGACGTGCTGAAGTGAGTCTGGGGAAGATTGATCCTCCACACTGGAGAACAGTCACTCTAATACGTTTAGTTGTGTCTTTGCCAGAAAGAAAGACTGTTACTTATCTACACATCCATCACAAGCAACTACTAGTCCTCATTTGAAGTCGTGTTTGCACGTGGAACTGCAGAGTCATCTGATAATTCACTGTGGGTTTCTCACTACAGGCGAAGCCTTTCACATTACACGCAGTCACTTGATCCATTGTTAATGCAAATATATTGATTAGAGCAGCTTCAGGAGCAGACAGATAAATGCCATATTAATTGAGCAGCGTGCTATGATGAGTTTCTAACTGTGAATCTGAATACTGAACTTTCTAAATAATTCATTCCCAATTAACTCTGCTGCTAACCCCTATTATTCATCTTTGTGTCTCTCAGGTAATGTAGCGCTTCATCCTACGCAAGTAGTTACTGAGCTGTATGCTCATGCATAACGATGCAAAACACATTTAGAAATAAATATTGTTGAAATGAAACATCAGTTATGATTTAAACCTATTAATACAGTGGTGATCTGTGATCCATTACTGTAACTACTTAGCAACTGTTGTATACCTCACTGTAAAGTGTTAATGGAGATAAAAACAGCAGCAGTTTGTTCCTCAGGGTCAGAAACTGCTGATGTGTTTAAGAAACTGGCAGTGGAGGTGTTGGTATACAGTTTAAATGGGACAGAGCTCATTAGTGTTCCAAAAGGAATTATGTAACTCTGTAATCTCATACCGTTGAATTAAGCGGTAAAGAAAAGACTTCCCATTTTATATTCTGCTCTCTTCAGCTCTGTTAGCCGGTAGCTACTTACAGGGAATGAGCTTCCACATAACGACAGTTTGTATTACAGAGCCGCAGAAAAAAGCTAATTGGGCTATCGGGCTCTGTAATTTAAAGCTCCCAGAGGTTTGTCAGGAAGATGAGCTTCTATGCTTCCTGCACAATTTACATTTTGACATCTCTCTGGCTGAGACCTAATGTGAAGTAGATGTGATGCTGGCAGCTGATCCCACCTCATCATCAGATCTCATTTTCCTTTGTTGGACTTGTTTGAATCTGGAGTGCTTTTATCAACAAGGACTAACCAGGCTCTTTCTCTCGACCCTGCAGGATATACTGTATATCATAGACTTTTTCACAGAGATGACCTCACATGAAACAAAAGGCTTGAGTTTTGTTTAACCAGAGTTCACACTGCTCTGAGTGTCCTCCTATGTCCCTTGTCGTCTTGGTTACTTTGGAGAAGGAAGAAGTCCTAAAGAAACAGTTCAAGACGATTAACAGTAAACAAGGACTAAGGTCTGTCTTGCACGTTATTGTGTTATTGTTTACATATTTCTTGTTCAGTAGATAAAACAAAATGAATATAGACAGCTTGGAAAACCCAACAATAAATGTTTATCAAAGAAAAAAATTAATTTGAAAGTTAGCATTTTGGTGTTCTGCCGCCACTAGTTGAATTGTCTCAGTCATCTAGGTCACAAGTGCTGCAGTAAAGGTCAAAGGCTCTTGCAACACAAGTTGAATTGTATTTCTGTTCTATTTGATATCCACTGGAGGCTAGTGTGGCACAATCGTTTTATTATTAGATATTTAGAATGGAGTTTAGGGCCCTTTTCTTTCCCAGAAAGAGAGATATTTTTTAAATACTCCTGGGATTTAGTTATCATGGATTTTATATCTCATCCTCCTGCCTTTGTTTTTTTTTCTGCATCCAAGTACTGGATTTGGCTGAACTGAAATTACATAACAGGACAGACTACCAGTTCCCCAATGGACATAAATATGAATAATATCCTGCATAAACATGTCTAATTGTTCTCTAACTCCGTAAAAGTGTCTACTGTAATGTGGGTTGCTGTATCTCGGTCTTAGTCATTGTAGATTTTGGTTATTTTACTTGTTTAGTGTTTGTTGTGGATGTGGATATGAATCTATGAGGTTATACTTTAAGTCAAATTGTTATTACAGGGCGGTTAGAATCTGTAAATGACTGCGACAGTTATGTGGTTGTTATGTTTGTCTTCAAATAGAAATATACTATAGCTGACAGGTGGCATAAGCATTAAAAAGTAAAACACACACAAGTGAAAGAAACAATGCTGTAACACTGGTTGCCTGCAGGTGGTGCTAGTATTAAAAACGGCAGCGTCTTTTACTTTGTGTACCTGTAGAAGGCTACAACAGTTTCTATATGTTTCTTCTGCTGCTGTTATGGTGTTCTGATGGTGGTATGATGGAATGACCCCTATGTGAGTGAATTAAAGTTATAATCCTTAAGATTTAAGTCTTGGTTCTTTGATGACAGCCATGGCGTTATTGGCTGTAACTGCAGTGTAGAGTGGTTGTCATTAGCTAGCTAGTGGGGCGCCACAGAGAGACTAACGTGCACTGAAATGCATGCCCGGCCAGCCCGGCTATGTCAACAAAGCACAACATTCTACACAACACAGAGGTCGACCGACTTCAGCTCAGGTAGACATTTCTCCACTATATCGTTACATTGCAGATATTTGTTTGCTGCTATGATTCCCGTTTATACAACCTTTCAAAATAATGTACAATTATCTGCTAAAAAGACAAATGCTACACGTTTTGTAAACAAATATTTGAAGAACTGGTCGCACTTTGGGCCACAGTGATAAATAAACTGCGTTTCCTCGGGCTGTTTCACAATAAAAGCCATTCCGTCAGTTGCATGCTTTTATTGTGAAGCAGCAGTAGAAAATATTAACTTTGCATTAGCAGTTACTTTACACAGCTCTAACACGGTGTTAAGAGAGTGAACAGCAAACAGTAAGGATGATATCCATGAGATAAAAATATGAGGATAACATGCGTGCATCGTTTCCTGTGAATCCCTCATGCATGTGAAGGCAACTTAAATCCAGAGCAGGAATGGTGGACTCCGCCACTAACTACAGTTTCATGAAAATCTTAAGGATTATAACTTCGTCTCATGAAGTGATTTGCATCTGAAGAAAAGAGACCAAGTAAATCATTGTTTGTGGTAGCACCTCCCAGCCAATCACAAACAAGTAGCTCCTATTGGCTGTGGTGTAACTTCTTGTATGTTGTTTACATGAAATAGCTGCCTTTTGTCACAGAACTCATCATTTTTCTTGCGCATTGTAGCCCAAACTATTGTTCACTTTGGAGGAGACACAAACACACACACAAACACACACAAACACACACACACACACACACACACACACACACACACACACACACACA